GTCGTCTGGAAAACTGGACGTTGCGATTGAAAGGGTTAATCCAGCCCTGCGCAGGGATAGAGCAGGCAAATTGGAAAGGACGGGGGCAAAATTCACCCGGGCAACGCCGGGTACCTCTGCTAGTCAGATATAAAGGGCATCGTTGAGATCCAATGACTACCTAGTCCGATCCAAAAGAGAGCACTAAAAAAGTAGCACCAGGGAAATAAACTAATTACTTTTAAATTAATTAATCAATTAACACATTTTTTGTGCCAGGTTTCAGACCATGAAAGTCAGTATGAGGCTACTCTCACCTACACACGATTTGTCTTTCATGATTAGGTGATTCGGTAAACTGCGTGATATATTTGTAGATATGGGCATTAAACAATGGAACAACGAAATGCATACAGATCCCAGGTGGCACATGACATTGATTCAACGTTGATTTGGTGTGGATCGAATGTATCACTGTTGAAGGTTTATACTTCTATGTTGAATCAACATAGATTCAACGCGGTGACTGTCACCGTTTAGACACCCACATTGATTAAACATTGATTTAATGCTGCACCATTCACGGTGGTTATATAAAGCACAAATAAAAAATTCAATTAATTAGCTAACTGAACTCCTGTACAAGTTTATATCCGTAAATGGAATGATTACTTGTTTTCACATAAACACCGCGACCTAGCCACATTGAGTATTGGTTGAACTTTAAATCTTAGTTCCCTAATGGTGGGGGACCTGGACGACGGAGTTTAACGGCTCTGCGACTGATGGATCACATGGGCCACCTAAGGCTACCTTGGTAATATTTTGGCAACAAAAATATTTGCTTTTTAGGAGGATATCAAGCCCCCTTGACAGGCCCACGTGGTTCAACGTTAGCTTTGTTGGCGCAATAACATTGGATCAACGCTGATTCACAGTGAGTGTGCTACTTGGGGTCCATTCGAGGAAAACCCCAGACAACACCAATAACACACCAGGATATTTAAAAAATTTCGACAGGGTGCTGCTACACTCAGGGATGTTTTCAACCCCACAGTTGGTCAGGTCACTAGGGGGACGCCATAATATATTTGTAAAAATTTTCCCAAAAGAACGTTGAATTCACATGTGACAAGTTTTGCTCCGATGTGTGCATTCACTCCGAAGTCGTTCTTGTTGTGTCCAAAAGAAGTATGTGACTAAAACTAGAACGTTGATGAAAGCAAGAGGGAAAAATGACATACCCGACGGTGCTATCCACAAAAAAAGATCAAAAGTAAATTAAGTATTTGACAAGCAACGAAGGGAGTTGCTGAACCTTCATATATGACTACATGAATTATGTGCGCCGAAAACATGAATGGGCAGTTTCAGAGTTATAGTGACAAAAGTGGTAAATAATTTATTAACAACGCTGTCATCCAGCTTACGTTCCCTACATTATATGGGTATTATTGAAACTGGTTTACTCGAGGTAATTTGTAACTAGTAGACTTCCCCTTGCCTAAAGGTAATGACGAGGTAATAAGAGAGTTTTTTACATCGTGAAAGAACCACTTAGAGCGAAAAGCTGGTTATACGGACGTCAGTAACGACGAAAAACTATCATAGTCTATTCATGTTTCAGCAACAAAAAATGCCTACGCCTTCTTTTCTGAAAATTTGAAAGCTTTATGTGAAGCCAGATCAGGCGAAATTAGAAGTGAAGTAGCATAACGAAAAACGTTGTCTAATCTGTGTTAGGTCAGTAACACAACATGAATGACCATACTTTTTTTCAACCGTGGGAGAAATGAGAAAATGTTTACCGGAATAAGTGCAATCATCTATGCTCTTTAAGACACTGTTGACGTTGAATTTCTGGACCAAACCATCTTTACGATGGTTTGGTCCATAAATGATTTTATTTTTAGTCTGGTGTCAATAACTTTGGAACTACCCAAATACCTACATCTAACATTGAGCATTAAATGCAACCAGAAGTTCATAAAATACTAGGGCACTTCTATTTTCTAATTGCTTCCATTGCCAAGGAGACATCTTTCGTGGAGGTAGTGCAAAGGGCAGAAAGGGATGTCACAGCCTTCGAACGTCTTCTCGTCATTGTCAAAACCAACAAAACAGTAAGGCAGGTCCTTCTTCCCAGTTGGATTGCGGCAGAAGTTGTGATTCTCGCTCGTCACGTCTTCAGGAAACTTCGGCCAAAACTTGTCCAGTAATCCAGAGTCATTCCAAGGCAAACAGAGACGGCCGGACACCGTCACGTTCAGAGTCCCTGCATACTCCTCTCCATTGTGCGTCCACTTGCATTCCGTCTTGTCTGGTGGAGAGAATAATTAAAGCATGCAAAACTTTTATTCTCTCAATAAAGTGAAAAATCATGTGACCAAGAGATCACATGCGGTTTCAATGAAAACACTATCGAAAGCATTCAGATTCATGTTCCCAATATTTGCTTCAATTGAGACATGTCATCCCGTGAGGTTCATGTCGCATTCGATGGAGGATGCAATTTTCTCAAAGAGAAACTTGACTCTTGACTCTATGACGTGAAAGAATTCGAAGAAAACACTATAACTGGTTTTTTTTTAGGTTTTATGGAATGACTGAATTATTTTATATTGGCAATACACTAGCCACAGATAAACAAAGTTCCGAGGTCACTATGAGCTTCGTCATCGATTTAAATCGGCGACTGCTACACTAGGCAACATTTTCAGAAATGTTTCCATTTCCAAGTAAATGCTTCACCTTGATGGTTTTTGGTCACTTCTTGAAGCGACTGATATTATGACATTCATTTAGCCCTAAGAAAGCTTTCTTGGACGATGAAGATTTGTCTACTTTGAGTGTCACTCCTTTCCAACCCTGGCATGACCCCTTTTGAACCCGATATAAAATGTGTTCGTGGATTGGAATGAGCTCACTGTGTAAGTCAGGGCAACGGGGGATATCGCAGTAGTCCCATATTTTCTCTAGATCGGAGACGAAACACCAGGGTTTCTCCTTCAACGTCGGGTTCCTACAGAAATCTTGATGGGATGCGGGATTGCCAAATCGGAAATGATCATCGTAGGTCAAATTCGGGTCGAAGTCCTCAAGCTTTCCAAAGGGCTGAGTGTCCCATCGGAGGCAGGGGTTCCCAGACCTGGTCTTTCTCGTCGTCCCCACGTATTCCTTCCCCATCTCGGTTTGCAAACATTCCGGGTATCCTTCCGTGGGTTTACCTGTCATATTTTAGATATGGAAGGCTTTGAATCACCTGAAATTCAGCTATCTGCTTGTAGTGCTGGAAAAGTTGGAATTGGAATGCAAAATGTTCCATAATTCGATCAGTGCTATGTAGATTAAAGAAATTCGCAAGTTTGAATTGTTCACCATCGAATTGCACACGCTGAGAAAACATATGAAAAGAAGCATGAAGCAACCCGAAAGCATACCTTCAAGAGCGGAACGCTCATACAATTCATAGCAGAATGGGACCTTGCACAGTCCCCATGTTTGGCTAGTTTTTTCTTTAATGAAGCACCAGAGATCGTCTTTGTCCGGAATTGCCCAAAATTCCTGGAGTGCATTTAGAGTGGTTTCTCCACTACCAGGATTGCGGCAGTAGTTGTTACTATAGTCCATGAGTTGGTCTGGGAAAGCGAAGAAGTTCAGGCGATGGAATCGCTTGGGGTCTGACGTCAACCAAGGTTGACACCTCCGGCCCTCTCCATCCACGTTCTTCATTCCTGCATACTCCCTTCCCTCTAAAGTCAATCTGCATTCCGGGGATTCTGAGGGTCAACAGAAAAAGGAATCTTCCAGTAATAACTTAAAAGAACACCTCCTGTCACCGTTTTTCGCTCTTCTTCGCATTCAGTGTAACCTTGAAATAAAAATATAAACAATGATGGTATTAATAAATGATAGTAGCCAACTTGGAATCCTATATCCAATTGTAAATTAGTGCATCTCATATTCCCCTTTGTGTCCAATGAACACGAAGTATTCGTATATTGTTATGTATTTGAAAGTTAATTTAAAATCTTCAATAATTAGAATAGGAAATCTTTTCACAAATCCTTTCTTAACTCGTATTCCAACTTGACTTGCCCACATCACTGTTAATTAATAGATTAGCCCGAGAATTCCTTGATACTGCACGTTTCTAATCCCTTGAATCTTCACTTACGATTCTGTCCGTCGAGTCATTGTTCCCTGTATTTAAGGATTGGTTCTACGGATTATTACTCAGGGCTTAGGTTGGGAAGAGAATAGGTATTTCTGCCCATTTGTACATACTTTGTTAAGGTCAAGCGTTTGGGATTAATAAGAAAGTCCTTGTCCTTAAATATACATTTTTGTGGAATGTATATTTACCTAATTCCAAGCCACTTATAACATTGCTCATGTTTTTTAAGCTCATCTTGGAATGTATACCATCACGAGAAATCTTCCATGCGTTAGCTACTTCAACATTAAAGATGCCATGTCGCAACCTCAGCTCCACCTTGGATTTTCGCAACATAACCGGTTCGCTCAATGATTTCACGATTGTTAAAATGGTTTTAAAGGAGGACTCAAAACGATTGACAACCATTGCGTCCTGAAGCCAAAGCATTGCAGACCTTTGCGGCAGGAGCAGAAGGGGATGTCGCAGAATTCCCATTCAGGAATCAAATCCCAAGGTCTGGAAACAAAGCACCATGGTTGCTCAGCCGACGTTGGATTCCGGCAATAGTTCAGGTCCTGCATTGAAATGTATTTCAAGATGTCTTGTCTGTCTTGGAGACGAGAGTTAGGCCACCTGTTCTGCGGGTTCCCCATGTCCTCAGTGTTCCCCGGCAAATGCTCGTAGAGAACATGATATACGTTATTCACTTTTTTCCAAAGCAGGCATTTTTTTCCACTTTGTGTTTGGCTATGGGTCCCTCTGTACTCTTTCCCCATTTTCGTCATTCGGCATTCCGGATAAATATGCAATGCCTCAACCCCGTCTGTAATGAAAGTGTAGTGCGAGGAGAATGGGTTTTAGTGCGTATAAAGTGCATTCAGTCCTATTCGAAAAGATCCTTTAGGATTCCTTTAAAATCCTGTAGTATTCTCATAGGCCCTTTAGGATTCTTATGAGAGGCCATTTGATTTTATCCGAAGAATTAACTTATCCAGGTTGTCGGGGTTGGGTTAGGTGGCTTTAGCTTAATATTCCTTGAGGCAAAGACCTAATTTAGCAGAGGCAATCTGGGCATCGCTCCAGTCTGTCAGCACAGAACACTCTTGGCTGAATTCAAGATAGTCCCCTTACGCTTTCATTGTAGGTCTGCATTTCCCAGGCTACCTGCCTGTTCTTCTTTGTGGCCTGAGTCATTCCAAGCCATGCCGGGTTGCTTCTTTTATGGACCAGTCGCGTCATGAATTTCGGTCGCAAGGTCAATTGATGGCTTACAGTGGCTCTGGCAGACGGACTTAAGTCGGGCGTGACTCTGAAAATCTAGGTTCTGACTTTCTAATTCAATTCAGCGTCTAACGACAGAAACAGTCTGGATGGGGTCATCTTGCGCCATCTTGCGGATGTGAAAAATACCTGTTACACTCATAAACCTCTCTGTCAAGTACTAGGAGGATCAAACTGTCCCTTAAAAAGTTGAAGTTGAAAAGTTCATTGTATTCTGAGACGGTCGAGCACAGGTAAGAACTTCACTTGAAGTGGAATGATCCACCTCTAAGTACCTTCATTTCACCTCTAAATGGACATTGTATAATTTAGACAAGGGTGCTGAAAAAGCTGGTAACCATTCCAACACCTTGTAACTGTCAAGTATCAATCGCGTATCAAGTTTAATTTTTTTTGCTGCATTCATGAAACTGTGTTTCTCCCATAGAAGACGGTAAAGCGTTTTTTTAACCACCCTTTACTTCAATTTACGTCAGGGACAGGGGAGTCAATCCTGAGCTAACGTAACCTCCCAGCAGCGATATTTAGGACATTCTTCTACTTCGAACCTAATGAACAACTCTTTTGCACCAATCGATTTCTCTCAGGCATGCCTCACGAGCTAGGCAATGACATCGAACGCGAAACCATGGTAAGTCCTTTAGACGACAATGAGTCTTAACGTTAGTTTTAATTCATTTTCATACATGAATATGTTGGTCATTCTAAACGCGCAATAAGAAGTGTTTTCTTATTTTCTTTAATAGTTGCCGACAAATGTGGGAAAAACAAATCTCTTATCGCTATCTATTATTACTATAATAAATGTAATAATGTTTACCCAGAGTATCCATGAAGATTGCATGATAGACCACCTAGGGCACTGTCCCCAGAGGCCCTGCCCAAGCACTCTTTTTAGGTCGTAGCCTGCGACGAGGGGCTAGTTCTGCAATGTACCAAGAAACTACTTTCATTATAATCCATGTCCAGTGTAGTACGACCCATTACAGGATGAGTTGCTTCGTCTTCTGGAATTCGGGAAGTTACGACGCTTCTATGTTATGGCTTCCGCCCTGGTCAAGTGAATTGTGGATTCGAAATCGATCGTCCTATCCACATGTCCAGCATCGAAACTACAATCAAGTTTCTGGGAACAATGACAGATCCCCCTGATGGAGTCGCCTCGAAACAAATACGAGGAGTAGAAGGGTAGACTTCAGAAGAAAAGCTCAAGGAATCGTATGCTCCACAGCATGAGTTTTTCAAAAGGATCAGAAATCTCTGAGAAGAAGATTTTGAAAGTGGAAACCGAACTGACGCAGGCAAAAGCGGACATGTATACCTTCAGATTAGCTATGAAGCGAAGAAAGTCAATAGAAGAGATGAATGTATTCATCAAAGTCTGCCAAATATGAGAGACGAGATTGGAAAGGATGGAGAAAATGAACAATTCATACGCTGCATCAGTGTCATTCCAAGCTAGGTTGGGAATGGCACTGTTTATGTGCACTAAATATGGAGTGCAACTGTAGAATGCTTGGATACTGTTCCTTTAAATGAATTCCCATTCTATGTGAATGCTGATTTCGTGAAGAAAGTCTGAGAGAACTATTAGGCTACAAAATGTGGATTCTTTGGGTTCGATGTGGAAAAAATTTGATAAAAATGTGAGCGGGAGTGAATGTCGGCTCGGGTTTGGCTTTCATGTTCGGATTTTTTCATTACTTTTTTCTTGGATTTCATTTTTCCCAACGGCCATGAATGAAAGATGTTTGTTGAAATTACATGTTTCCTAAATTGGATTTACCTAAACGGTATAGTAGCCTTTAGCCTTGCAAGCTGCATTTTAATTGAAAAAATAAATGAAGTATCTGTGAATCATTGATTAAAAAAATTGCCCCAAAGGAAATTATAAACTAAAACTATAATTTTGAATCCCCTTTTCCCCACTGCCTTAGCTATGTACCATCTTCATAAATTTTACCTCATGACTAATGAGAGGTCTGTGCCAGGTTTCTATTTTTTTGATATCATCAAGGAATCTTGATCTAAACCAGTTTTTAAATTTCCATGTTGGGTTGAGTTACCTCTTCTGATGAAGTTAACATGTTTTGTTTGACTGTTTGATGTATCTCTACTTTCATCATACCTTATTAAATGGTTTTAAAAATTGTGAAATGACTATATCTGTATTATTTGCCTCTTGGTTTCTGATTGCCTACAAAGGCGTGACAACAGTTAAACCAAATAGACTTTGCTTAACTTTTCTTCTCTATAGATCTTGTCATGGAGAAATTCACAGGATACTCAGAGAAGCATATAGCAGATCACAAGGGGAAAATTCAATATCTACAAATGGTTCAAGGAATGTTCAATAGCTGCAAATCTTTTCATATTCCAGAACACTGCAGTTTTCATAATAATAATAAAAAACTTATTCCACCCTTCTTCACATTCCTTACCTTTGGCTGCATACCTGCTTGCATCCAGCTCTAAAGACTGATTTTACAACTGTACTCTAACTTTTCCCTTGAACACTTGGCTGCACTAGTGACACGTCAGTTGTAGCCTAGTGATGTCCTTATATCATTCCAGACTTGTACCCATCCCTCCACTCTAGGGCAACCACCTATAGAGTCCCATAAGATTTGTAAAACAAAAATCTTAAAGGATTCCTATAGGATACCTTTATAGGAATCCTATAGGATCTTATCATGAGGGGTAAAGAACATAGTATGACGATGATGTCGCATCTAGTGCAATTTATTCTATTGTGGCAATCTTGTTTCTATGAATCCTAGTAGGCATAGCTTCTGCTTAATGACTTCACAACCCATTCCTTTACCTATAAATCCCGACCTCGTGCACCTCGTTCACTCCGCCATCGCGGCACCGACTAATCTCTGCTAGGCATGTTAAAATCTCCTTCGACATCTCGCTGATCCTACGCATCAGTGCAAAATAAGCTGTTTCGTCCTCGGGAAGAGTTTGGAGGCCTATGGCAAATTCCTAGCACGATCTTCCCATGTGCCCCACCCATCTCTCCCCATAATTGTTCTATTGCGCCGCAGATAGCCAAGGTGGGACCTACTCTGACGCGAACGCCCTGTTCACTTCTAGCGTACATGACTCCTTCCCCCTTTCTTCCGGGCCTATCCTATCGCAAGATATCGTACCCTTCAATCTCGACTTCCTTATCTAATATGTGAGAACCTCCCCAAGTCTCGGTTATTCCGATGACATCGACGCAAATCTCTCCTCTTCGACGCAAATGTGCCTCTTCGATAACTCCACTGGTTGCTCCTGCAAGCTACAACTCTGCATACCTGACGTAACTCTCGCTCATTAGTCCCACAAACCCAATCCCCGCACCTACACATTCAAGGCATCTTACTTAATAGTATTGATCCCTATTGACGCTGCTACTGCTTTAGGCTTATAATTCGCAGAACTTCACAGTAGTTGTGACCTGGTAAGACTGTCCTAGTCCTTGGGGTAAATGGAATACTACGACTAATGCGCTATTTATAAAAAAAAATAATCAAGCTGATTAATTTAATGTGGAGTTGGAGGTAACTATCAGAAAACTCATGATACTGTTACAAGGCAGCCAATTAGCGAATAACTCAAATCTCAGCTTTCAGAACGTAGAGAGTATCTTCCAACACATCCTCAAGCTACGAACGCTCGACCAAGACTCGAGCTATTTTGAACATTCGCTTGAAAAGCCTTACGCTTGCTGCCCTCCGGTTAGACCTTGCAGTAATAATAATATATTGTACTTTGGAATTGGCTTAGCTGAAGGATGAGTTTTGCATGCTAGCAAAACTTCATACCGTTCTCGCACAAACCACAGCAGTGGTATTCAAAGTACTGGTCGGTTTCCATTTTTTGGCGGCCTAGGAGCATCTTAAAACGAAATATAATTGAGCGTTGTAAACATGTTAATGCATTTTTTAACTTCCCAATCTGAGACGATCAATGAAGAGTTTTGTGACACCTGAAAGTGAAGTCGCCGTATGATGGTCATATCATTTGGTATTGACGTATTAAGCCACTCGACTCACTCGACTTGTATGCGCCCTCTGCCACCCAGTTCTTCTCCAATTCTTCTCGAATACAGGAACGCACATGACAGGCCTCCGGTCTCACCCAAGGAAGTACTTCCAATTCAATGGCGCACCATGGACCTTCCAAAAACCCATTAGGGTTCCGACAGTAGTTGTGGTCAGTCGTGGCATCATTAGGGACTGAATATTTCCGATTAAAATCATATTTCTTGAGTCTGGGGATTGCAAGACTCCATGGAATGCATGGTGCACCTGAAACGGTCCAGTTCTTTGCGCCAAGGTATTCCGATCCCAATACGGAAATCTTACATTCTCGGACCCCT